GCCCTGAGGGGAGAGGAGGAGACCAGTCTGGACGACTTCTGCACAAACACTACCCCTTAGCCTCCACCCTGTACTCCAGAGCTACAGGGCAGTGGGCTGGAAGCTCCTGCCACCACCCCCCACCTCGCTGTACAAATGGCTTCTTCACGGCTGGAACATCTGCCAGGCAAGGGAATCAGGAGCTCTTGGTTCAGACCCTCCTGTTGGGTGGGTGAAAGAGAATGCAGCCTCCAGACGCAGGCCTTGGGCACCCTGCTCTGCGCCAGCCCTTCTCATACCCTGCTTCTGCCTGGTAATGCTCATTCAGCCTTGATAGCCTCCCTGGACCACTGCAACACTGCTGCTGTGAGCAGTGTAGGACATGTGCCATGCCTGAGGACCATACCGTGCGCCCCCATGTGCTGTGTCCTGCTGGGAGTCTCCCGCAGCAAAGCACATGGAGACAAGCACTCGAACACGGAGTTACCTGCCAGTGCAGAAAGCTGAGCTCTTCAGGATCTGGTCTAAGGACCAGGGCAACATAAGTGTTTTCCCAAGAGCACCTTGCATGTTAGTCTTATCTAATGCACCTTCCGTTCCTGCTCCAGCCTGTCTGCAGTCTCTGCACGTGGTAGATGTGGCAAGAGCTTCAGCCTTTTAGAAAGAACAAAGATGCTCAGAAAGGCTCCAGGCTCTTCTGAATGTTTGCAGAGGGAGCTGGAAGCTGCCACCTGCACTCTGAGATCATCCAAATGGGGCAAAGGCTGGAGCAGAGCTGTCTGGCAGTTGCCTTTCAAGGGATGCTTCTCCCCTGCTGCCCACAGAGGGATCCGCACTAGTTGGCAGCCCACGCAGGCAGCCCCTGGAAAGCAACAGGATTGCATTCCTGAAGCTCTCTGAGAGGTGCTGGCCACACAGATGGCATTACCTACTGTCTTCCCCCACCTGACTGGATCCCCCATGCTGGCCCAAGTGGTTGTGAGGTCTTCCACCTCAAATGTCTGAGTGGCAGCAGTGTCTGTTCCACGCCCAAGACCTTGGTTGTGTGAGGCCCCTGAGCAGGGCTGTCAGGGATCCTGCTGTTCAGTGAGAACCTCGTACCATCTGCTTGGGGCGCACGGGCACTGGGAGTGGGTCCTGTTGGCAGCCCCTGGATGGGCCAGTTTCTGAAGGGTCTGTTCCACCCCTGTCGTTGTACCATTGGTGGGATGTGTGAAACAGCAGTGCCGAGGGTTTGGTGTGAGGTGAGTGATGCCCTGCAGGGGATAACAGGACAATAGAGAATATCCTAGTCGAAAATACAGCATGAAAACAGAACCATGCCCTTGACTCAGGGCCCCTTTAAGGACTGGCTGGCAGGCATAGCTGGACAAAGGGTTACTCTGGTTGCAAGGAGGCTGTTGGCCTGAGGATTCCTCCTGCCAGGACCCGAGCTGAGTGCCTCGGGCCTTCCACGTGCCTGTGGCTGCCCACTGGAGAAGGGAGCTCCAACTTCAGGCTTCCCTATGGTGCAGGCCAGTGCAGTTGGAGGGCAGCGAGGAGCTCTGTCCTAAGACTGAGTCTTGCTACAGGCTCAGCCCTTTACTGTGGCTCCAGGACAACCTTGGGTTATCAGCCCACGCCCAGACTTCTGGCTGGGTGGAGTTGTCTGCTGCACCTGAAGGCAAGGTCAGAGCCTGGCTCTGTGCTCCGAAGGCCCCTGCCCAGTGCTTGGGGCTCTGCATCTCTCCTGGGGAGCATCGCCCTTGGCTCCACATGTGGCCCATCCGTCACCATTGGTGCCAGCACAGACCGGCGTGGGCAGAGCGCTGGCTAACAGGTGCAGAACCCCAAGCATCGTGCCCACAGCTACCATTGTACTGCTCCACAGGCTCCCTCCTGGGTCCCCCGTGGCAGGACTCCTGTGGGCACTGGCTGTGAGCCCGGTCCAGGAGGGAGCGCAGCAGCAACAGCCCCTATTGGAGGCCTCCCTGGGGAGGCCTCATGCTTCCTACATCACAGGTGTCAGGTCCCAGCATTTGTCTGTGAGCCAAGGAGATCTTGGCCTGGGCACCCCCAGCTGGCAGCAGCTGAGCAAACTCCAACTGCGCAACCTATGGATCACTCGTAGAGATCCTATGATCTCTACGAACCTGGTGGCACAGTGTCCTGGGCTAGCAGCAGGAAGGCCATGTCCCTGCTGCTCCCGGCTGGCTGGGCTGAGCATGCGCATGCCTCTGCCTGCGCTGCCACTGCCTCACTGCTCCATGCAGGCATACTCCTAAAACCTGAGTCGTGGCAGGGCGGGGGCTGCAGGCCCTGGTTCTCAAAGGCTTCCCAGCCTGTGCCTGGAGATCATCAGCTGCTTGGAGCCAGCATAGGGGTTGCCCTGCTAGGCCCGGGGAGGCCGGTTCTGCTGTGCATGCCCCCTCCCTCCTGGCGCTGTGTGCACACTGAGCCCACCCAAAGGCAGTGGCAAAGCAGGGGGTAGGGCTGTTTGCTGCTCTCCACCGCACTAGAGCCAGGCCTGGAGAGCAGGGTATCCCCAGAGCAAGTGCATCACCATGGCCCTGGGTTTGGTGCATGTGACTGGAGGATGAGGGTCCTTGAGAGCAGCCTGGTTAGATGTGCCCCTGGCATCCTATGGGAACATCCAGGCAGCTTGAGGCAGAGGGGTGCCAGGCCCCATCTGGGCAGGACTGGTTGGAGACTGTGCTGGCTGCAGCAGCCCCATGCCTGCCACAGATGCTCCTCCCTGCCCAGCCCATAGACAGGTCCCATCCTGCTGCTGCCCCTAGTCATTGCTTGCTCTCAGGTGCTGCCGCCCCTTGGGCACTTCTGCTAGATGCAGCTGGGGAGGTGCCCCAAGCCTGGGGAGGGGGCACCCAGCAACCAAGACTTCTCTCTGACTGCCAACCTCTGCCACTGCTCTCCTGGGGGCAGAGGATTACTGCCCCATCCCAAAGCTCATCCCTTGGTGAAGGAGCGGGTGCCCTGCCTCCCACCACCCTGTGCAGGCCATAGAGATGTGTCTAATGTAGCCCTGTGCCTTCCCAGGGTCGCAGTGCACCGGGCTGTTCAGCACCACTGTGCTGGGAGGCTCCTCCAGTGCCCCCAACCTCCAGGACTACGCACGCAGCCACGGCAAGAAGTTTGCCACCAGCCTGACCTACAAAGACGGTACGTGTGTCCTCTGCACACAGGTGCAGCCGGTGTGGGGACTTGCTGCCCCAAGCTGTTACCAGGCAAGGCCTCCAGGCACATGGATCTGAACAGGCACGCATCCACCCATGCATGTGCCAGTGCCAGTTGCCTTGGATGCGTGGGGTGCACAGTCCTGACTGCCTGAGCATTGGTGGGAATGGGAGGGAATCCCCCAGCCGCTCCGAGATCGCAGGGCTCAGCCCTTGCTCTTGGTAGTCAGACCTTGCCTGCTGTGGAGGTGGCAGGGCCAGAGGCAGTGCTGGTCTCTGCGTGCTGGGAATTCCCGTGCGCTCATGGAACCGCGTCTGAGTCCCGCTCCTGCAGCTCCTCCCACTCCAGTTTGTGCATGGGTTGGGGCTGCCTGCCCTGCGTGCGGGGTGACCAGGGCAGTGGGGTCAGGACAACAGTGTGGGGGGGGCACCCATGGGAGACCCGTTGAGGACCCCGTGTTCTAGCAGTGGCACTTGGCCGATGGGGATGCTGGGAGGAGATGACAAGCTCCTTGCTGTCTCTGACTTGCCCCTGAAACTGCATGAAGACTGCCCAGCACAACAGGCTGCTGGAGTGCACGTTGGCTTGCCCCCACGTCGACCCATGCGCTGGTGGCAGGGGGCCGATGCGTTGCAGCACATGGAGAGCACCTGTTCACAGCATGCTGTTGAGATGCAGGGTGGGGCTGCCTCTGCCCCTTCAGCCCTGGAGCACAGGGTGCTGGGACAGGGGCTGGAGGACAGCTGACTGCTTCAGGCCTTGTAGGCACCTGTACAACATGAAATGATAGGGGCAGGGGGCTGGGCTGTCAAGCTGATGTGGAGAGGGTGTTTCCAGCTCGCAGAGAGCCCTGGCCCCTTGTCCCTGCCCTGCCCTACACTGGCTGCGGGTGTGGCTGCCTAGGAACTGCTCTGTAGCTCCCAGTAGCTGCTGACTGCAAAGGAAAGCGCAGGGACGGGGCTGTGCCCGTGGGAGTTCCCCTGCACAGCAGGAGAGGGCAGCAGCCACCAGCCTCAGGTGCCCACAGCACTGGGGCCAGGAGGCACGAGCTGGGAGCTGGACTGCAGGATGCAGCAGGGGCTCCATGTTGCAGGCAGGTGGGGCAGCTGAAGGCAGCCATGCCAGGTCACCTTCTCCCTGGAATATTCAAAGACAGCACCATTCCCTAGGGAGAAGCAGGTACAGAATTGACCTGCCTGAGGCCATGCATCCAGTTCAGCAATCGGAGTGCGCCCCAGGGCTTCCCAACCCCAACCCCAACCCCGTGTGCTGGGGCTGGAGCCAGGACCAGTCTGCAGCTTCCCACTTGCTGTTAGCCAAAAGCCTGGACCCTGGGCAGTTCCCAGCTGGCTGCGTGTGATCCCCGTGCCAGGCCCCTGCATGCGCCTTTTTGGAGGTCCAGGTCCTCATGGAGGGGCAGGTGTTACCTCATTAGACTTGTGGGTGCCTGGCCCTCCCAGGCAGGCTGCACAGTCGTGTACCTCTTGCACAGAGGCTGCTTCACGCTATCTCCGTCCCATGCCACTGGCACCTCCCTGTGCTGCCTAGGCGGCCAGGAGGAAGCTGGAGGTTTCCGCACCAGGCAGGAGGATGCAGAGGCACGAGGTGCCTTGGGGAGGCAGATCAGAGCAGAGGGAAGTGCTCGGGCTGGATACTTTGCTTACATAGGCAGCAGAGGAATCGCCCACATATGCTGGTATTTAGGCTGTTTCTAGGTTGCAGTCCCCTGCCCTGGAGACGCCAGCTGCAGCTTGCACTGTGCTTGGGTGTGTTGTGCCAGCTGTGCCTGGCGTATGCTCCCAGCACTGCTAGGAACGGTGCTGGTAAAGCGAGTGCTTGCCTTGCAGAGCACAACTCTGTCCCGGTGAGCGAGTCTCACACATGAGCCGAGGGCAGAGTAACAGTGCCGCACCCTGTGCCAGTGCCCTCTGGCAAGAGGTGGCACCACTGCAAAACGGCGGCTCATGTCTCCGTGCCCGGCACTGGGAGAATGCCGTGGGGCTGTCTGCAGAACAACAAATCCATGGCTGGTGGTGCATGGAAGTAACAGATGGTGCCATCTCCTTGGGGTGGTGGTTGGCCTCGGGCCTGCCTCTGGCCCCCTCAGCACACATCGGGGTGGGCTCACGCTCTGCCATGTTAGGCTGCTGGTGCTGTAGCGGCAGCACTCGGCCGGGAGCTCAGGGGCTGACTGAGGCATGAGACCAAATTCTCCTCTCATGGCTGACTTGGGGTAGAGAGAGTTCAGCAGCGGTAACATCAGCTTGCTTTGTTGCTGCCCTCTGTCAGGACCAGGTGGAGGACCTCGGTCTCCAGGGTCATCGGTACAGCAAGGGGTGCAGAAATGTAGCCGAGTCTTAGAACGTGCTGTTGTGGCTGCAGGGCCTGAGCATGCCTGGCCTGAAGCAGCACGCACATCCATGCCTGGAGGCACCTGGGGAGCTGCCCCTGTGTTGGGACCCCCGATGGGGGGGAGGCCATGGGGGGACAATGGAAGCATGAAAGAAACGTGTGAGAGCCACGAATTCCCAAGCCCCAGGAAATCTGACCAGTGGGCTGCACCGAACCCAGCTGGGGCCCGTCGCCTGCTTTCTCAGCCTGATCTGAGCCACCCTGCCCTGTTGGCTCTGAAGGGCAGCCTGAACTGTCTGGGGGGCTTGGGCCTGGCTGGTAAGCTACGGAAGTGGGAAACGTGTCCCGAGAGCCCAGCCCTTTGTCCCATTCAACGCTTGAGTCTGCTCGTCTCTCTCACTGCGTAACTCGTGCAGAGCGGGGCCTGGCCTGTGCGCTGAGCAGCAACGTGGGGGCCAAGGCAAGTGGCCAGACCCCCTACGTGGCCATGGCAGCAGTGGGGCCGTGTCCAGGCTCATCCTGGTCTCTGTCAATCTGACTGTCACATTCAAGTCCTTGGCGCTCTGCTTAGCCCAGGCAGAGGGTTGTGTTTGGGGCTGCGGCTTCCCACTGGGCTCTCAGTGGCTGCGGGGAAACAGTCTCTTGGGGACTCCCCTGTCCCCAGGAAGTGTGGAGCAGCTGGGCAGTGTTGTGCTTTGCTTCCTCTTGTGGCATCGTGCCTCCCTGGGTACCGTGTGGCATCATGCACGCCCTAGTCCCCCGGATGCCAGGGTGAGGCCAGGCACCCTCGGGGCCAGGCATGGGTGGGATGGGAGGGCCTTCCGGGCTCCATCAAGTGATGCAGACACGAGGCACAGCAACACGTCTGGGGAGCAGATGGGCTCAGGCCAGTGGCAGGTTAGCCAGGAGCGAGCTGGAAGCATGCGGAGGCTTGGGGCACCCCGACAAGGCCGTTAACTGAGACGATGTGTTTTTATTTCCTCAGAGCTCTTGTCTATGCCAGCCGTAAAACGATTTTCTGTGTCGTTTGCAAAGCATCCGACTAATGGTACGTGTGCTTCCTTGATTTGACGTTCCCTCACACTTCTAACCCATCTGCACGTCTCAGTCTCTGCACGTCTCCTTTGGTGTCCCCCCCCCTCCGGCCTTCTCATGTTCTCTGCGCGTCTGTGTCTGGTGTCCGACTGTGTCTCACCTTCCCCATTGCCTCGCTGTGACTAACTCACTCACTCATCCTTTGTGTAACAGCCCGGAGGGGCCGGGGGGGAGGCAGGAGGCATGCCCTGCCTGACGGGAAGCCAGCGCCGTGGCTCCTGCAGCCGAGCAGGAACAGGTTCCTGCAACGCTCCGAGCTCTGGGTTGGCATTGGGACCTTGCCCTGCGCTCGCCAAGGAGAAAGGTTTCTGCCCCATGTCGTGGCGGATGCTGCGCTGCAGGTTTGCAGCATCTGCTGCAACAGCCTGACTGCATCTGGAGAGTGGCAAGTGAGGCTACCCTGTCTGCGGTGGGGTCAGTGTGGGGAGTGAGTCTTTCAGAGGTCAGGAGGACCCAGTGCACGAAGCATGGATGGCGGTACTGGGTCCCTCACTCCCAGCAGGCACCTGTGGCAGGGAAAACAGTAAGGAAGCCACAGACATGTTGGACACGTGTGCAGCACACTTCCCCAGCATGGGGGCCCTGGCCACGCTGGCTCCCGCCAGCATGGCTGTGTCCTGGAGTTGGCCACCCGCTGCCCCCCAAGGGTGGGTTGGCCTTGCCTTGGCACGTGCACCCCTGCTCACAGGGCCCAGGCTGGAGGAACTCACTTTTAATCACGTGCATGCACCAGCCCCAGTAGTGTGGGGCTCTGGGATGAGCCAGGTGCTGAAGGGCCCTGTCCCTCCCTTGTCCTGTCTGGGCCCTGTGGGCTCGCCCCCAGGAGGAGGCAGGTATGACTGAGGGTCGGGAGCGTGGCACAGCTTGCTCCGCTGCCCCCAGGCCAGCAGCCATCGGGGGGGTGGGTGTGTGTCTGATGTGGCTTCTCATGCCCCTGCATCTCTGCTTCATGTAGCTACTAACCTGGTGCCCAATCCCATGCCTCTGGCAGCGAGGACAGGTGGCTGCTCCTTGCCTTGTCCACCAGCTTGGGAAGTGCTGTCCACATCTTGCACAAGAACGTTCAGAAAAGGTTTGGTGCCCAGCTACTGCTTGTAGCCATTCCCCCTTCCTCCCACTGCTGGCAGGGGCAGGGCTGGAGCAGATGTCTGTAGGCATCCGTGCAAGTCCTTCCGTTACACGCAGACTGGGCAGTTTCTTTTCCCTTCATCCTGGATCTTCGTGCTCAGTAAATAGTAGGAAATCCCACCCTGCAGTCTGGAGGGTAAAGCTAAGGTCAGAAAAAAGCAGAGGCTGGAGTGAGAGATCCAGGGTTGGCTCTGGGGGTCTGCATGTCTCCCAGGAGGCATCACAGAAGGGTGGGTGTCCCCTGAGCTGTGGAGGAGCTGCCAGCTGGGACAGTGTCTTGTTTCATGCCACTCGCTGTGATCACTGGACGTAGGCTGTGAGGACGTGGCAGGGTTGTGTGCGCAGAAGGATCATGCTCTCACATGCAGGTAGAGCAGGCCCTTGGGGATCTGTGCTGGATGTGGGCTGCTGCCTCTCCTCCCAAAGAACTGCCTTGGCTCTCCCATGCATCGCAGGCAGGAAACGGGACCGTGTGACTTGCTCCCCGGGCAGCAGCATATGTCCCATCTGGCCTGGAGCTCACAGGCCAGAAAGGGTCCCATGTGCTTTGGTGCATGAAGGGACAGGGCTGGGCTCTCCACTGCCTGCCTACAGGGCATGCACAAGAGCAGCACAAGGGGCCAGGGCAGTGCTGGAGTGTCCCTCCTGTCGAGAGAGCTCAGCACTTTCATGCCCTCGAGTGACTGTAACTGGCTGAGGCCTTGGCGTTTGCAGAGCCCCTGCGCCGTCTCTTCTGAGCGGAGCCTGGCTCAGTTTTCCCGGCCTCCTCTGCTCCCGGCCTGTAGCTCCTCACTCCTTCGAGTGGTGCGGGGGGACTTGTTGCTCAGGGCTCTGGCCTGCGAGGCTGGATGCGGGTCTCAGCTCCGTGGTAGAGGCAGTCCTGGCCTCAGGGCTGCCTCCATGTTCTGTAGCCCAACCTGGGCCTGGTCTGCAGAAATGCACTTCTGGGGCTTGTTTGTTCTGGGGAGAAAACCTGCCTGACTCCCTCGGCGCACGGGGTGGGGCAGATGCTGGCGGTGGGTCCCGCACGCGGGCTCAGTCCCACCGCACAGCCCTGATGGCTGGAAGCTCCCGGTGTGTTGTGGGGGCACGTGTGACCTCCTGACAGGTCTGGGCTGACAGCGGGTGGGCACTACTTGGTGGACAGCGTCTGGAGGGCTGCTTGAGCTGGGGCTTGGCCCCCCCTCGCCTCCTCTGCCCTCCTCACCGCTTCTCCCCCTCACTCTGTGGCCCCCTCTCCTCCAGATGAGCTCGAGCCCCGCCACGTGGCCCAGCTGCTGCGCCGCTTTTCCTCCGACTATGCCATGAGCCGGAGCCTGTCCCTGGACGCCGCGCTGGCCCGCCACCTCCACCAGTGCTCCTACCACCTGCGCCTCTTCCGGAGCTGGCTGATCTCGGGCCAGGAGGACATGGAGTGCCTCTACGGTACCGCACGCTGCCGCCACCGCTGCCTGGCGCTGTCTGCTTGGGAATGTACCGCGTGCTTTGCTCTGAAGCGAGAAGCACTCACCCCTGGCATCTCTCAGGCCTGTGGGCTGGCGCTGCAGGGAGGCGCATGTGCTGCTGCAGCCGGGCAGGTCTGGACCCTTCCCGTGTGAGCTGCCCTGGCTGTGTGCATTCCTGGCAGTCATGTGTTGCTGCCTCCCTCCAGCCAGAGTGGGCTGTGCTCCCCTATGCAGGGGCACGCTTGTCTGTCTGAGATGCTGCTTAGAGCCCGACATGCCTGCCTGTGCCCTGTCTCCAGAGGTGTGCTCCCCTGGTCCCCAGCTTAACTCAGGAGGAGGGAAGGTGGGTGCCAGCTGTTGGAAAGGCTGGCGACTTGGGAGCCGTAGCATGAGGCTGGCACGGCAGCAGGAGGACCCTGCTATAGGCACAGGGAGAGTGAGGTGCTCGTGGTGTTTATGCCCCTTTCCAGGGGCAGTGGGCCAAGAGCTCTGTGTTGCATGGCCTCTGCCCTGTCCCCGAGGCACTTTGCTGGGGGGAGCAGCTGGGCATCTCCATGCCAAAGCCCAGGGCCGTGAGGGCTTCCAACTCGCCCTGGCCCCCCGAGGTTTCTCGGCCTTGGAGCACAAGGCATTCTCGGGGATGCCCTCCTCGTGGCTCTGGGGGCAAGGAACCAGCCTGCCAGGGTCAGCCTGCTTCTGAGACCTGCCTGGCGCATGCGGCTTCTGAAGCGTGCTGTGCTGCATGGGTTGGCTGCTGCTTCGGCCACAGGAGGGGGCAGCCGTGGGCCGGTTCAGCGAAGCCGGTTCCAGGTCTGCTGCTGCTGGAGGAGAATCCCCCTCCGCAGCCTGTGTCCCCCCTTGCCCAGCTCTCGCCGTCATCCAGCAGCTCGTGAAGGCTGCTGCTGTGCAGCCGTGACTGGATCCGTCCTTGGTCTCCTAGCAACAGCTAAGGAGAGGCAGGACCGCCGAAGGGAAGAGGGATGAGCATTGTCCCAGCTGGACAACTTGCTCCTCTTGCTCCTTCTCCCTAGGCCCAGTGCTCAGCCCGATCCCCCGCGTGTTGCATTGAGGGTGCTGGGGCAGCCCTGGCCCAGCCCCATGGCAGGATCATTTGCGTCGCATGCACGGAAATGCAGGTCTCGCAAGGCCCCCTGAGCAGGACTGCCGCAGGAGCCCATGGCAGAAGTGTGCTTGGAAGCGTTGCCCAGCCTAGGCCTGCACCAGGCCTGAATGGCTCAGCAGTGTCTTGCTTGCCGTGCACAGAGGTTTTGCCCAATCCACTTCCCTGCTCCCAGCCTTACTAATCGGTTTCTGTGCAGCACTCCTATCATGCAGGAAAAGCGCGCATGTGTGTGTAAAACAGGAAATTCCAGAGCAAGAGTCATGCACTCGTGTGATTTGTGAATGCATCTCTGATGGTTTAAAGCCCTTCGTTAGCATGCTTGTGGTTTGAGTCAGGGAGTTTCACACCCAAAGTGAGAAGGTTCTCATTCAAAAACGCCAAGTGTCAGAAAATCTGGTCTGGAAAATGACCTCAGTATTGTGCCGTGGCTGGTGCCCCAGTGGCTAAAGATACTCACGCTCCCCGGGTTGTGACAGCCATCTGTGCAGATCTCCATGGGATTCACATATGGAACGAGCACAGTGGGCCGTGATGAGATCTGAACAGTGCAAGCAACCAGTCAATCAGGGAGGGAGAAATGAGGACTCAAAGCAGTTGCCTCCGGCTACTCTCGGGTGTCGCTGGGATGAGACGGACAAAAGAGACGCAAGCGTGCAGAGGAGCTGCTCCCTGAGGGCCTGCCTGCTGTGACTGTCCCCTTCCCTCCTGGCGGGGCAGCCTGCCCCCTCCTCACCATCACTGCAGTCCTGCTGCAGCAGATCAAAGGGCAGCAGAAACCCTTGCCTGCACGTCCCGTCAAATCAAGGAGCCCTGTTGCTTCCAGCTCGGGGCAGTCCCAGAGCCACTCTCATCCACAAAATGTTTGAGGCAGGAAGAGACGAGGGCTTTGGCCTATCCCAGGGCTTCAGAGGACGGATGACCTGCCTCGGGTCTCTGCCCACCATCACCCCGTCCCCACGGCTGTGTGGTTGGCACGTGACTCCTGACCCAGACAGGAGTTGCAGATAGCGACCAGCCTGGTCCATGAAGGCGGCACTGGGACCCCTCTGCACCAGCTCTGGGCTCCCTCGTGGGAGTACTTGCACAGTGGTGTCTTGCTGCAGTGGCAACCTGCATGGGCAGAGCAGAGGTCCCCATCTGGCTGACGGGCTGTCAGGAGCTCGTGTCCAAGGTAGCGTACAGCGTACATCAGAGCCCTCCTCTGCTCCACTTGGGACTGTGCCAGGAGAAGGCATTAATCCCTGCATGGAGAACAGAGCGGTGGGAGCTGTGTTGTCGCAGCAGCTGCAGCCTGTCAAGGAGCCCGAAGGGTTTTGGGCAGCGCTCAGTCTGCACGGACCCGCAAGCCAGCCAAGGGAGGTAGATGATAACTTGTCTCCAACTTCTGGGCCCTTGGGTGGTCACAGGTCCAAGCTACATGACATAGCCCTGCACAGCCCACTCTGGATGAACTGGCTTCAATCCTGCAGGCAGCATGGCAGCATTAGTGTGGACTCAGCCTGGCTGAGCAGCAGATCCACTTGCACCGATGCAGCTGCAGCATCGTAGGACTGGAGCCAGTGCCAGTGCCTGTTCAGATCCACAGACCAGCTGGAATAAAAAGGCTTTCCTAGGGGCTCGTTGACCTTGCTCAGGCAGGGAGAGAAGTCTGGTGGGCTCCTGGCCTCAGGCTCTGCCAGCACCTGTGCAGACTTACCCAGCCCCTTTGCACGTCTGCAGTGGAGAAGAGCCATCGTCTCTGCTCCAGTGAGGCCAGGATGCATCAGCGCGCAGGCCTCGCAGCACCCTCCCAACAGCCTGCTGCCATCTCGGGCCCTGCAGCAGGGTGGGTGCGCTCCGTGTGCCAGGGCAGTCTGCCTTTGGGGAGCACGCTCATCAGCTGCAGGCTGTGGTGCTTCCCAGTGCAGGCACTTGTCCTGAAACGCCCTAGGCAGGTGTGACTGGGCGTGTCTGACCAGAGGGAAGGCCATGCACTGGGCTGGTGCAGCATTTTTCCTCCGTGGTTGCCAGGTTGCTGTGTCTGGTGGACGCTGTCTCCCACGTCCAGCGGGCCTGTCGCACTGCTCACCCAGCAGATCAGCGGGTGCAGGGAGCAAGCTCTTGCTTTCCTTCTACAGTTCCCAGAGGCCTCAGGCTTTTCTTGGCCCCAGGATTGGAGGTCAGCAGGTGTCAGCCAAGCCGACAGCAGTATGGTGCCTGCCCACCCAGGGTATCACTGCTGTGCACGTTTCCACACTTCCCTGTGCTGCGTGCAGCCTGCTCTCTCGGGGGCTCTGGGGTGCCAGCTCTGACATCCAGCTGGCCCCATAGCTGAGGCTCTCGGCCGTGGGCTGGAGCCATTCCCAAGGATGGCAGGCATCCCTGTGAGCCCGGCTCCAGCCCAGTCCCTCCCTGAGCCCCAGGCACCTCACGGCCCCTGAGCAGCAGCCGGCTCTTCCTCTTCGGCGTGTTTCCTGCCCCATGGCAGGGCTGCGCATGCTGCTGCCCATCTGGGTAAAACAAGACCTGCTTCCAGCAGTGCCACCCCACCAGACTCCCCATCGCTGCAGTTGTTGGCGCATCAGGGCAAGCCTGCTCCAAGGGTGCTGCTCATGGACTCGCGCGTTTCAGGACAGGGGAGATGCGGACTGCGGCCCATAGGGAGAGAGCAGGAGCTGGCCCTGCCATCCGGTGTTTCTACCGGGCCAGGGTGCTGCACCCAGGGCTGTTCTAGGCATGTCCCTGCTTCGCAGGAGTTGCCCCAGTGCCCTTCCTTTGGGGCAGGGCTGGCGCAGGTGGGGCTGTTCCCTTGGGGCGCTGTGCTGGATGCTCGGGGCTGCTGCTGCCACCCCAAGGCTGCATGCACCCCTTGGGCTCTGAGCACAGCGCCTGGCGGATCTCTGCCTGACTCCGCGGTACATCGGGGCCATCGGTGGCCGGGCGGCCTGGTCCGTGAGGCAACACGCTGGCAGCAGGAAAGGAGTCTGGGGCAAGAGGGGCATGGGGGGGAGGGTTGGGCAGCAGTCGCATGCACTCGGGCTTGGTGAGATCTTGCCTGGCCCACGGGGCTCAAAGCTGTGGCTGTGGAGGACTGTGAGGCTCTTGCTAAGTGGTGGCTGGCAGATGGTGCAGCAGCAGGCACGACACTGCGACGGGAGTGGGGGATCCTTTGGCTCCTGGCAGGGCTTTCCTGTCGATAACCTCGGCAGCCTGGCAACTCTGGGGGTTTCCTTCCTGTTGCCTCCAAGCGTGGCACGGTGGCTGCAGTCTTCTCTTGCTCCAAGGGTGTCGCAAATGGCGTGAAGTCCCTCCAGCCACCCTCCCAGCATACAGCGCATCGGTGGGCTGCTCCCCTTGCTGGGGCAGTGCTTGGTGCCAGAGCCTGCCTCCCTGTGCTGCTGGGGCTGGCAGCATGGGGCGTTGATGCTTCCCACGTGAGCTGGGAAGGGAAGCTGCCGCGTGGCCCTCATGCACGGTGAGCCGGGTCCTTGGTCTGGTTCCCGGGCCATAGATCCGCATATGCAGACCCTGCCACCAGGCGCTGCCCAGGAGCACGTGTGAATGCTCCTCTGCATGATGCCCACAGCACGGGACATGTGAAACGGGCTGGGGGTCGTCATTGCTGGGCTCCGCCTTATCATGGGCTCCCTGTGCCTGCCCTGGGGTCGCAGGCTCCGTGTCCTGTGTGTTGGTACCACAGCAGCACCCAGGCACTGGCTGGGCTGCAAGTGGTACAGGTCATAACGAGGGCTTGTGCTAACGATGGGTGCTCAGTTCTCCCCTGGCAGAGCACCCATCTGTCCTGGCCAGGGCCTGGTGGGGACCAGTGTGCCCCATACAAGAATTCAGGCAGGAGCAGGGCGCAGTCTTGCAAGGAGGCTGGAGCTCTTCCCCCACTGGTCTGCAGCCCTTTCCAGCCATGTGCTCCTGAGGGCCTGGGACACAAGGGCCCCTCGGCTGGGCCAGCTTTGGCTGCGAGTCACATGCACTTTTGCTGTCTGTACCCGGCCTGGCCTGGGCCCGTGCTGCCTCCCTCCCTTCTCCAGGGTCAGGGTCGCACTTCTTGCCCTCCCCTCAGTCCCATAGGTGAGCTGAACTTGCCCCTGCACGAATCCAGGCACCATCCACCAGCTGCTGCCACGGTCACCTCTGCCTCCGCCACTGCACGTGGATGTGGCTTGTGCTGCCTGCCCTCCCCTCCCCACCTGCATTCCCCTGCCACAATGCCTGCATGAGTCACAGTGAGCATCTGTGCACCCCACTCGTCCATAACCATTGCTGAGCACCTGCCACACACAAGCTCTGCCCCTTGCTGCTGTGCTGTTAGCCCCACTCGGGCCTGACACGAGCTCTGCTGGGCAGGGACTAGGCCTCCTGTCTGCCTCCTTGTTTCTCTGCTCGGGTTGTGGTGCAGCGTGCCCATGGGCAGCATGCAGGAGCTCTGGGCAGGACACACCTCCTCACCCTCCAGCTGCACCATATGCCAGCGCCTCGCCCCGCACGGGTGCCTGGCAGGCGGCACCAGGGTGGCACAGTTGCCTGGGGATGCTGGAGAGTTCCTGTCGGGCTGGGGCCACTGCCACAGACGTGATCCTCTCTGCGCGCGAGGGCAGACCCGAGCCGTGGGAGCAGGTGTTGAGGCAGGAGTCGCCTGAGGGGCCCTGGGCCTGTGCAGCAGCGCTGTGGGGGTGCTGCCTAGGAGCTGGGGAAGGCAGTGTGGCAGGGTGGCTTGGAGGCTGGGTGGGTGCCTGGAGCCATAGGAGCATAGCAGCTGCCCCCAGGAGCAGTGGGTAGAGGTTGCCTGCTGCAGGGCTGTCGGCTCTCGGGGATCCCAACTGAGCTCTGAGCCAGGAGCCCTGTCGCTCCTGGCCGCTGTGTTCTGGGGGCTTCTGAGGGCTGGTGGGAAGGGCAGGGAGGCCACGAGAGCAGCCTCCAGGTGCAGGGCTCCCTGCCTCCCTCATGCATACAGCAGCCAGCCCTCCTCAGACACGAGCGGGAGCCCCTCTCTAGCCCTGACCTAAGCCAGTCCCAACAGGGCTGCATGGCCCATGTGCTTCCTGCCTGGTGCCATGCATCCTCCGCCCACTCCTGCATGTGCCTGCTAGTGGCATCTCCCTGGCCTAGCTCCAGTGAGCACTGGGCTGGAGAGGGGGCCTGGCCTGCCTGGCTGGGGACAGAGGGGCTGGAGGGGGCCCTGGTCCTGCCCTGCCAGGGCCAGTGTCACTCAGTCTCCACTCGCATTCCCAGCAGGTTTCGAAGGCTGCTCCATGGTCCCCACCATCTACCCACTGGAGACGCTGCACAACTCCCTCTCGCTGCGACAGGTCAACGCGTTCCTGACGGCACTGTGCCGCAGCTGCAGTGTCTCGCATGCCCGCTCGTCTTCAGGTACTGCAGGCATGGGAGGGCTAGTGACCTGCGGCACGCCTCAAGTGCCGGCAGAGATGGGCAAGTTGGGCACGTCCAGGAGGCTGCCGGCCCAGAGCTAGCCTGGGCTGGGGGTGGGAAGGGTAGCCCTGGGGATCCATCGCTGTCCTGAGCCGCGGCTGCAAGCTGGGCTGTGCAGAGTGGGGAACTGACTTGGGCTTCACCACGGGGAGCCTGCAGCTGCCAGGAAACAGGCTGCCCTTGGCCTGGCAGACAGCTCTGTGACCGCAGGCCCGGGCAGCACTTGCATGTGACTGGCGGGCACCGGGGCCAGCCACGCCTGAGGTAGCCTCTTCTTGTGGCAGCCCTTTTCGACTCCATGATGGGGACCCCGGCGCCTGGGGACCCGTTCCTGTCGCAGAGGATCCTCTCAGCGTCTGCCTTGCCCCTGCGCCCGCGCTCGGACAAACCGCCGTGGTGTGAGTGTCCTGGCAGAGGGCCTGGGGGATGGGGGGGGGAATGGCTGAAGGTTGGGGAGGGGCGGAGGCAGGTCTGGCTGCAGAACGGTCCCTCGGGCTCCCCCCCATGGGCATTCAGCACCAGCCTAGGTCCATCTTCCCCATATTGGCCCTAGAGGCAGGCCCCGCTCCTGAGCTGGAGAGGGCCTGGGCATCTTTGCCTTGAGTTTCTGGCCTCATCCAGCTTCCAGGACAGGCTGACATGGGGGTCCCCTGTGACCCGTTCCCTCCTGCCCTGCCCTGGTGTTGTGGCTGCCCACGGCGGGCACCAGGTCCCCACGGGATGTGGGCAGTCTCCTGTTCCAGGGAGACAGCTGCAGAGCAGCCATTGCAGCTGCCTCCTCGTGGGCTGAGGCCAGTGACCGTGGGGGCATGGACTGAACTGCAAGCCCCAACCCCAGCCTGGCAAAGCTGGGCCCTGGGCCGGGCAGTGGTGCCGCCTGTGCCACGGGTGGTATCTGTGCTCGTGCAGCCTGCCAGGCCCTTGCACGGGCAGCGCTACTCCCCAAGGCAGGGCACGGGTGGTGGGAGCCACGGGCTGAGGCCATGTGCTCCGTTAGCCTGCGCTGGCAACAGGGTTGGGGTTGTCGTGCCTGTGGCCCCCAGAATGGCCCCAGGCCCCACTTGGGGTTAGCATCCCTGGGACCTGGCAGCTCCCCTCCACAGCACGGCTGGGGCTCAGGGTTAGGCCGCGGGTGGACGGGGGCTGAGTCTCGGGGTTGCTTTGCAGACAGCAGCGGCCCCTCCAGCACGGTCTCCAGCGCCGGCCCCTCCTCCCCGGCCTCCGTGGAGAACTACGCGCGCTTCAGCTTCACCGAGAAGCCGTCCATCAGCCCCCAGAGGAGCGAGGAGCGGCTGAGCGGCCAGGCCCCTGCACTGAGCGAGGGGGAGGCCTTGGGGCTGGGCCAGAGCGAGGGAGAAGGGGAGCCCCCCGAGCCCCAGGTAGAGGTGGGGGAGCCTGGGCTGGGGGGTGAGGTTGGGGGGCCTGAGGCAGGGCTCGCCGGGGAGCTGGTGGAGCCTGGCGAAGAGCAGGCCTCCGAGCTGGCCCCAGAGCAGGCGGAGGAGGGGGTAGTGGCGTGGGGGGAGGCTGAGCCCGCCGGGGAGGTGCTGGAGCTGGCCGAAGCAGGGCAGCCAGCGCCGGAGGAGACGCTGGCATCACACGACGAGGAGTCAGAAGGGGACGGCACTGGGCCTGGCCCCCTGGCTGAGGACACGGCGTCACAGCCCCCTCCTCAGGATGTGCACAACTAGCCGCTTCCTCCGGGCCAGCGGGGTGCATGAACCGCAGTCAGCGCCGCACACAGCCGGTCGCCACGTCTCTCCTGCCGCGGGCCCAGCCCCAGCACCAGCACCCTGAGCCCGGCCCACGCATCACGCACGGCACAAGGATGCTGGAGTCTGCTCCTCGCTGGCTGACCAGGACTGCCCCGGCCCCTGGCTGGGAAACAGCCCCAGGCCTGGCAGAGGGTCGGCGGGGAGCGGGCCACACTGGTGCTGGGCAGTACTGTGGCCCCTGGCACAGCTGCATCCTGGAGCAGCAGAGGTGGGGGCAGGGGGCTGCAGCTGCTGGGTGGAGAGGATGAAGGCAGGAGCTGGCTTAGCCCTGGCTCCAGGCAGAGGGGCTGGGCTGCGGCAGGCAGGCACCGGTGTCTTGACAGCCACGAGCTGCAGCCAAGCATGTAGAGCCAGTCTTCATGCCGGCTGCCACAGCAGGCCCAGGGAGGCAGCTGCCAGCACTGGCAGTGGGGTCCAGGCTCCCAGCTCTGCGGGGCTGTGTGGGTGCGTAGTGGCTGGCCTGGCTGCACTGCGCACATGGGCCGGAGCAGTGGGGCGAGCGGGAGCAGAGCCAGCTGGTGATGGCCTGTTGTAGGACTTTGCTGCTGCTGCTGCTGCTGCTGCTCCTCTTTGCTGCTGGGGAAGAGCCGGCAGAGCACAGGCTGGGCTCAGGGCAGCACCTGTGGCTGACCTGGGCTGGGCTGCAAGGGGCGCAGGGAATACGGGTCCGCCCCGTGTCAGGATGGGCCAGCGCTCACACTCAGACCATCTGGGTGTCGGGAGCTGAGGCTGCTGTTGAACAAATCAGGGTTTGTTAGTGAGAAACCAATGAGGAGAAATCTATTGTACATAGAGCAGAAGTCTATTAATATATATTTATGTGTACGTGGGGCACTGCAGGGAGGCCGGGGCTGCGGTGGGGCCTCTCCAGCCACCAGCTCCAGCGCCCGCCCGTGCACCCCTGTGTCTGGTGCTGGTGGGTCTCTGTCTGTAGGACTCGTGCTGTCTGGTGAAGCTGTACCCAAAGATCTCTGTGCTGTGTTGCTGTGAGTGTGTGTTCACAGTAAACATCTTTGCTGTGTCCTGTGTCCGGCTCTCTTTGCAGCGGCCCGGTGCAGGATGGCTACCACCAGCCCCGGCTGGGCTCAGTGGCTCCCGGTGCAGGTGGCACCGCTGGCAGCCAGGGTTGCCCCCGTCCTGCCCTGTCACAGGGATGCTGGAGCCTGGGAGCAGGCACTTGGGGTGGTGCATGTCAGCTGCTACTCTTCATCCCCTGCAAGGGACTGGGAGGCCAAACCCCCTGCCACCCCCGCTCTGTACCCAGTGCTAGTGCAGCAGCACTGTGTGCAGCTCTGGTGCATGTGGGAGGCCTAACACCTTTTAAACTGAACCTGGGGGGAGGCTGATCACATGGACGCTCGCAGTGGGGGTGAAACTATAATCCATGGGGACGAAATGAGAAGATGAGCACACGCAGGCACAGCAAGTGAAGGACACGTGCTTTTGTACCAGTGCCAGAGGTCTGTGGCCAAGGTGGCAAGTAATGGTATTGACATGAGAGGGGTCCAGAAATGTGGTGGCATGAGGAGAATCGGTGGGATGCGAACTACAGGAGTGCCAGAGCAGGGCATGGCGCTACGGCACAGACTGCAGCGATGTGAAGAGAGTCGGCTGCCCAACTGATGCAGGAGGTCCCAGTGTCTCTGCATAAAAATTGCAGGTTTCGATAGAAAAAAGTGTGTGTGGGGGTAGGCTATCGGCCCCTGCGCCAGGGCGCAGCCACAAGCTAGAAATGCCAGGGGAGCTGAGAGGCTGTGGCAGCAGGAGACAGTAATAAGGGGGGGGCTGCAACTGCTACCAACAACCCTGGGCCAGGAGACTGGGACCAAGTTTCTCCATGTGGTAACAGGCTGCTTCCTGCAGCAGTGGGTCCTGGGCCCCACCCAAGGAAAGGCTGTTGTTGAGCGCAGGGTTTGGTGGAAAGGGTAAGTGGTGCTGAGCTGCTCTGCAAGAGTGACTGCAAAACAGTTGGGTTTGATGTCCTTGCAGGAGGTGAGGGGAGAAGAAAAATCTACCAGAGCAGCCTTCAGCTTCAACAAGGGAGGGAGACTGCACCAAAAGGAGGCGGCAAGCAAGGGACCCGCTTACCAACACCGACCTGGAGCACAGAGTGATGCACGCTGCAAAATAAAATCAGGAGAGCGGGCCAACAACGTCGGTGTGGTGCAGGGCAGAGCTGCAGAGAAAAGCTGGCAAAAAGTGGAAAGCAAAGCCTAGTGAGGAAAATAGCTAGTATTCACCCTATGGCTAAACAGCCTCGGGGCCAATGTGAGTCCCGTAGTTAAAAAGGGCTCGAGAAGGGAGACGGACTGAGCAAAGGGGCGAGTGGCCGGCAGACAAAATGCAATGTAGATTATTGTAAAGTGCTGCACTGGGCAAAAGTAGCCCAGACTAGATGTCCACTTCGAGGAGCTCTGCTTGAGCTGTTACCACCCAGGAAAGAGATCTGGGAGTCATTGGGGGTAGTTTGCTAAAAATAGCAGCTCCGGGCTCAGCACCCATCAAAAAGGCACACAAAACATTAAGGACAATGAAGAACTGAAGTGTGAAGAAAATGGAAAGTCTCATAATGCCTTTTTATAAAGCCCCGGTGGGTCCACACCTTGAATACTGTGCTCAGCGCGGGTCCCTGCACTTCAGCCGGGATCGAGATGCCCTGGAGAAGGGCCAGAGAAGGGCAGCCAGGATGAGGAGGGCATGGAGGGGTTTCCATGCGAGGAGGCTGGAGGGGGGTTTACAACACACCAAACGGTGAAGAGGAAGCCCACAGAAACGTGTGTGGCCAGGCAGGATGGCGGGCGCGAGCAGGCAGGACAGTTTGTCCTTCTTCACCCGGCGGGAAGTCGGTGCGAGACGTGGGGGGCGCGCACGGGGCTGGACACGTGCTGGGAGAACGGGCAAGGGGCACGGCCTCTGCATCAGACCCGCCTGGGCCCTAAATGCTGGAGGGTGCGGGGGAAAGCCCCAGTCGCTTTCCCTTCCAGCCCCACTCTGCCCTGCGACGCGGGAGCCTGGGGCAGAGCCAGGGCCTGGCAGGGCTGCGTCGGGCTTTTACCTCACGCTACGGCTGCAGGCTGCAGCCGTCGTGGGCCCGGCGCTCCCCCTGCCCCCGCAACAGGTTCAGGGCAAAGGGCCGCCCGCGCCCGAAGCCCCCGGGCCGCGGCGCCTGGCTTGGGAGCAGCTGC